GATGGATATGGGGTAAGAATAAGGTCATGGGGGTGGGTATGGAGTCATGGGAGTGGGTATGGGGTGAGAATAAAGTCCTGGGAGTGGGTATGGGGTCATGGGGATGGATATGAGGTGGATATGGGGTCATGGGGTGGGTATGGGGTGAGAATAAGGTCCTCAGGGTGGATATCGGGTAATTGCAATGGATATGGGGTCATGGGGATGGATGTGGGGTAAGAATAAGGTCCTGGGGATGCATACGGGGTCATGGGGGTGGGTATGGGGTCATGGGGATGGATATGGGATAAGAATAAGATCCTGAGGATGGGTATGAGGTCCTGGGGATGGGTATGAGGTCAGTGGCATGGATATAGGGTGGGTATAGGGTCATGGGGATGGGTACGGGGTCATGGGGATGGATAAAGGGTTGCATATGGGGTCATGAGGGTAGTATGGGGTCATGGGAGTAGGTATGGGGTGAGAATAAGGCCATGGGGGTGGGTATGGGGTCCTTGGGATGGGTATGGGGTCCTGGTGGTGGCTATGGAGTCATGTGGTTGGGTATAGGATCATCAGGATGGGTATGGGTCATAGGATGGAGCCGTGGGGAAAAGGGTCATGGGGTGGGTATGGGGTCTTTGGTATGGGGTCAGGGGGATGGGTATGGGGACATTGGGTTGGGTAGTGGGTTATTGGGATGGCTATGGGGTCATGGGGATGGGATCGTGCTGCTGGGTACCTGGCGACATGGGGATGAGGGTGTGGGAGTGGGGATGGGGTCATGGCGTCGTTGGGAAGGGTATGGGGTGACTATAGGGTCATGGAGGTGGGAAAGGGTCGTTGGGATGGATGGTGGGTGGTTGGGATGGGTATGGGGTCATGGCGATGGGTATGGGGTCATGGCGATGGGTATGGGGTCATGGTTGGTACGGGGTGATCATGGGGTCAGGGAGGCGGGCGTGGGGGTGGGGATGGAGCCATTGGGATGGTATGGGGCCCTGGGGCTATATGGGGTCGTGGGATGGGTACGGGGCCACGGGGATGCGTGCGGGGCGTGGGGATTTGGGGTGACGCGGGGTGCGGGTGCCCCGCAGGCGCGCTGGGGGTGATGCTGGGCTGCTGCTACCGGCTGAGCGCCGTGGCCTTCCTGGCGCCATATTGGTACGTGCTGCTGCTGGACAAGGCCAGCTGGAACAACCACTCCTACCTGTACGGCCTGCTGGCCTTCCAGCTGGCGCTGCTGGGCGCCGACCGATACGGGTACGGGGCAGGGGGGTGCGGGGTTATGGGGTCGTGGGGTAGGGGGATGTCGGTGGGGATGTTGTGACGGTACGGGGACACGGGGATGTGGGGACGTCACTGGGGATATCACTGGGGACATCGTGGGGTCAGGGGGGTATGGGGTGTCACTGGGGACACAGGGATGTGGGGATACAGGGAAGTGGAGATAAAGGGATATGGGGACATCGGGACATGGGGTCATGGGGATATGGGGACGTGGGGACACAGGAACATGGACATATGGGGATGTGAGGATCCAGGACATCATGGGGGCAGGGGGATGTGGGGATATGGGGACACCAGGACATGGAGATGTGGGGACACGGGGATATGGGGACATCTTGGGGACGTGGGGGACACAGGGGCATGGAGATATGGGGACACCAGGACATGGGGACATCGGGATATGAGGATAAGGGACATGGGGACACAGGAATATGGGGATATGGAGACGTGGGGACACGGGAACATGGACATGTGGGGATGTGAGGATCCAGGACATCGTGGGGGCATGGGGATGTGGGGATATGGGGACACCAGGACATGGAGATGTGGGGACATCTTGGGGACATGGGGACATCTTGGGGACATGGGGACACGGGGTCATGGGGATATGGGGACACCAGGACATGGGGCCATGGAGATATGGGGACACCAGGACATGGGGTGGGGGTGATGGGAGGAGGGAGAAGGGATGGGGAGGTGCAGGTGGGGAATGGGGCAGTGGAGCAGATTGGCGTGGGGTGTCCCATGGGATCGGGGTCGCCACGGGGTGACACAACCTCGATGTCCCCACGCTTCCCAATGGGTCCCCATGTCTCGCTGTCCCCAAGGGGCGGCCGTGCCACCACCCCACAGCGCTCACACCCCCTCGGTGCCACCCCCCGTGTCCCCACAGCTCCATCGACGGCCTCTTCCGCCCGCAGAAGCGCAACGCCCACGTCCCCCTCTGGAACTACACCCTGCTGCGTGCCCAGGTGGGTGCCACCCCACTGCGTCCCCCCCCCCCGCCGTCCCTACCGGGGGACGTCACCGTGTGTCCCCACAGATCTTCATCGTCTACTTCATCGCGGGGCTGAAGAAGTTGGATGCTGACTGGGTGGGTGGGTACTCCATGGGGTCACTGGCACGGCACTGGCTCTTCTCCCCATTTCGGTGAGTGGGGTGGGATGGGCTGGGTTGGGATCAGTTGGGTCGGGTCGGGTTGAGTTGGGCGGGGTTTGGTTGGGTCAAGTTGGGCTGTGTTGGGTGGGTGAGTTGGGCTGGGGGGGGTGGTTGGCATGGATTGAGTTGGCTGGGGTCAAGTTGAGTCAAGTTGGGATGGGTTGAGTTGATTGGGCGAGGTTGGGTTGGGCTGGGTTGGTTGCGTTGAGGTGGGTTGAGTTGGGCTGGGTTGGTTGGGTTGGTTGGTTTTTAGTTGAATTTGAGTTGCGTTGAGCTGGTTTGGGTTGGGTTGAGTTGAGTTGGGTTTGATAGGGTTGGGCTGGGTTGCATTGAGTTGGGTTGAGTTGGGCTGGATTGAGTTGGATTTGGGTTGGGTTGAATTTGGGCCGAGTTGAGTTGGGCTTGGTTGGATTGGGCTGGGTTGGTTGGGTTGGTTGGATTTGAGTTGGGTTGGGTTGAGTTGGGATGAATCAAGTTGAGTTGGGCTTGATTGGATTGAGCTGGGTTGGTTGGATCAAGTTGGATTTGGGCTGGTTGGATTTGGGTTGGGTTGAATTTGGGCTGAGTTGAGTTGGGCTTGATTGGATTGGGCTGGGTTGGTCAGGTTGAGTTGGGTTTGATAGGGTTGGGCTGGGTTGGATCGAGTTTGGTTGAGTTGGGTTGGTTGGATTTGGGTTGGGTTGAGTTGGGTCGAGTTGAGTTGGGCTTGATTGGATTGGGCTGGGTTGGTTGGGTTGGGTTTGGTTGAGTTGGTTTGGGTTGGGTTGAGTTGGGTCAAGTTGAGTTGGGCTTGATTGGATTGAGCTGGGTTGGTTGGATTTGAGTTGAGTTGGGTTGGGTCAAGTTGAGTTGGGCTTGATTTAATTGAGCTGGGTTGGTTGGATTTGAGTTGGGTCAGGTTGAGTTGGTTTGGGTTGAGTTGGGTTGGTTGGGTTGGGTTTGGTTGAGTTGGGTCAAGTTGAGTTGGGCTTGATTGGATTGAGCTGGGTTGGTTGGATTTGAGTTGGGTTGAGTTGGTTCAGGTTGCGTTGGGCTTGATTAGATTGGGCTGGGTTGGTTGGGTTGAGTTGGGTCAGGTTGGGTTGAGTTGGGTTGGGTCAAGTTGAGTTGGGCTGGGTTGGTTGGATTGGGTTGGTTGGTGTTGGGTTGGATTTGGTTGAGTTGGGTCAGGTTGGGTTGAGTTGGGTTGGGTCAAGTTGAGTTGGGCTTGATTGGATTGAGCTGGGTTGGTTGGATTTGAGTTGGGTCGGGTTGAGTTGGGTTGGGTTGGGTTGAGTTGGGTTGAATCGAGGCGGGGTGGGTTGGGGACGCCCCGCTGACGGCGGCGGTGCCGCGGTGCCGCAGGCTGGTGCTGTCGGAGGAGCTGACGAGCCGGCTGGTGGTGCACGGCGGGGGGCTGGCGCTGGATCTCTCCGCCGGGTTCCTCCTCTTCTTCGACGCCACGCGGCCCCTCGGCCTCGTCCTCGTCACCTACTTCCACTGCATGAACTCCCAGCTCTTCAGCATCGGTGACGCAGCGGAGGGATGGGGGCACCGGGGGGTCCCTGGGTGGTCACCTGCGCTGGGGGTCTTTAACACTGTCCCTGTGTCCCCCTGTCCCCATAGACGTTCCCCTCCCATGCAGGGGGTACTGGGGGTCTGCAACTTTGTCCCCTTGTCCCTGTGCCCCCGTGTCCCCAGGGATGTCCTCCTACTGGGGGCACTGTGGGGTCCCTAATGTCCCTGTGTCCCCATAGATGTCTCCCTACGCCATGCAGGGGGCACTGAGGGGTCCCTAACTTTGTCCCTGTGTCCCCATCGATGTCCCCCTACCCCACACAGGACTCTGGGGGATCCCTAATGTCCCTGTGTCCCCATGTCCCTATAGATGTCCTCCTGCTTGAGGGGTACATGGGGGTCCCTAACTTTGTCCCTGTGCCCCACGTCCCCACAGATGTCCCCCTACACCACGCTGGGGACACGTGGTGGTCCCTAACTTTGTCCCCATGTCCCCACATCCCAAGGATGTCCCCCCTACCCCATGCAGGGAACACTGGGGGGTCCCTAATTTGTCCTTGTGTCACCATTGATGTCCCCCTACCCCACACAGGGGATTCTGGGGGATCCCTAATGTCCCTGTGTCCCCATGTCCCTATAGATGTCCCCCTGTCCCAAGCAGGAGGTAGTTGGGGGTCCCTAACTTTGTCCCTGTGCCCCACGTCCCCACAGACGTCCCCCTACACCATGCTGGGGACATGTGGGGGTCCCTGACTTTGTCCCCAAGTCCCCACATCCCAAGGATGTCCCCTTACCCAATGCAGGGGGCACTGGGGGGGTCCCTAATTTATCCCTGTGTCCCCATCGATGTCCCCCTACCCCATGCAGGGGCACTGGGGGGTCCTTAATGTCCCCATATCCCCGTGTCCCCATAGATGCCCCCTATCCCAAGCAGGGGGCGCTGGGGGGGTCCCTAACGTTGTCCCCACCCCGCAGGGATGTTCTCCTACACCATGCTGGCCAGCAGCGGGCTGTTCTGTGACCCGTCGTGGCCACGCAGGCTGTTCTCCCGCTGCCCCCGCTGGATGCAGGGGGTGCTGCCCACCACGGCCCCCCCCCAGCACAGCCCTGACTGTCACTACGGGGGGCGGGGGGCTGCGCGGCGCCCGGCGCTCCGGCAGCAGCTGGCAGCTGCCTTCACTTTGCTCTACGTGCTGGAGCAGCTCTTCCTGCCCTATTCCCACTTCATCACGCAGGTGGGGGCTTGGGGGGGGGTGGGAGGGGGATGGGGGGCTTTGGG